TACTTGCAGTATAAAACTACTAAACTAGTAGTTTACTGAGACTATACTTCAAAGTGTACTAAAAATGCTACTACAAGTATTTAATTAGTAAACTATCAGTATACCTATAAGTTCACTTTTAGTATAGTTGCAGTACAAACTAAACATTTTGATGTAAACTAGTTGTGTACTCAAAGTTTACTACTGTTATACTTAAAGTATACTTTTATATACTATAAAGTGGGCCAATTTAGTCCCAAGGGGTATTGAAATAGTACACTTACAAGTATACTACTAGTACACTGATATTTGTATACTTACTACATAAAGTATACTTAAAAATATACTTGAACTTTACTTAAGTATACTTACTAAAATAAACTTGAAGTATACTACTTTTTGAAAGTAGTAGTGTTTTCACCTGAAAACACGCACAGGTACCAGCATCTTGGAGACCATTTAAAGAGATTTCCTAGGAAATTGTCTAATATATTTCCACAGCAGTGCGTGATACTTTATAGTCACCCATTCAACTCAGTGCTGCATGACAGATTATATTCACATACCGTAGAGGACTTAGCCATCATCTAGGGTGGATATGTAATTTCTTGTAACTAATAAATCCTTCTCTATCTGTAATGTGGTCATTTTCATTCTTATGGAAAAGGTGCCTCCAGGGCAGTTTGTATGCTGTGTACATCTTTTCCCAGCAGATAGCACATCTGTCATCATGAAATGCCCGCTCTTCCATTGTAGCCATAGAAAACCTGCCAAGAGACATTATGATTTAGGAGGCCTGTCTTTTCTCACTTCATTACTGCAAATTGCCAAAACCGAGTGCACATACAACAGCTGTTACCTTACTCATGTACAAAAACAAACCAGCACACAGCATAATAATAGACTACATGGAGAAATAGAGTTTGAGAAACTGAAACTGACATTTCAGGAAATTCAGGTTCACTATCATTATATTGAACCTTTTTACAGACTGTGACACATTTCCACATTTATTAACATTGTAAACCTAGAAATGTTTTTTTTATATATTTTCATTTATTCATTTTTTTTTTTAACATTTTGATATACATTTATGACACTTTGTTTCATATTACCTTGGCACTAAATTACAAAAAAACACCGCTATGAGGGTGTTTCTAAATCAATGGTTGAACGTGATGGTAAATTTGATTAATTTCTCTGTTCTCACTGCATTTTTTTTCCTCATTTGGAAAGGCGTGGAGATGATATTACGTTTTTTTTTTCATATGGGAATGTTTTGCTGTAGTCTCTTATTCACCACTGTTTACCCAACTATGGTGAGAAAGGCTTTAATGTCTCGTAACACTTACGTTTTGTCCAAAACATCATAAATATGCAGGTAGTTTTTGTGTTGACGTAACGTGTTTCATTTCCTGAGACAAGAAACGGAACTGTGTCAATATAATCAAATCAGCCACAGAGAACCAAATATTCCCATAGAGCTGAAAAAGAGACAGGCAAAAGACAAAAACAATAATTGCTAATTAATCTAATAGTAATAAATCCCAAAAAAAAATTCCTCTTTCAATGGTTCATGATTAATTGTTTTTAAAATGAAAGTGAAAAAAAAAAATCATGATTGTCACGCCAGAATGTGGATATGATGCATCATATTTAAGAAAAGAATTCCCATCTCCATAACAAAGTTTGTGTAATAAATACAGGTCAAGGTCAAGTCAAGGTCAAGTTTATTTATATAGCACCTTAAAAGCAACAAGTGCTGACCAAGGTGCTGCACAACCAAAACATCAGAAAAATCAACTAACAAAAGCATTAAGACAATATAAAATTTGAAATCATTAAATAATACAATAAGTAATGCAAGACATCACCAAACAGAAACAAAACCAAAAAAAGTATTTTCAAGTTAAGCAAAAGCCTGAGAAAAAAGATATGTTTTAAGAGATGATTTAAAAGAAGATAACGTAGGGGATGATCTGATGGATAAAGGCAAAGAGTTCCAGAGTGTAGGACCAAGAACTGAAAAAGCTCTGTTCCCTTTATATTTTAAACGAGATATTGGGACAATCAATAACTTCTGAGAAGACGATCTAAGTGTTCTCACAGGAGAATAGAAATGGAGAAGATCTGAAATGTAAATTGGGGCAAGACCATGAAGTGCTTTAAAAACAAAAACTAAAACCTTAAAATCAACTCTGAATTTTACAGGTAACCAGTGAAGTGAAGCTAACACGGGTAATATGCTCCCTCTTTTTTGTCCCTGTCAAAAATCGAGTAGCAGCATTCTGTACCAACTGTAAACGTGATAGTGAAGACTGGTTTATTCCAGCATAAAGAGCGTTACAGTAATCCAGCCTTGTTGAAATTAATGCATGAATAACAACCTCTAAATCATTAAAACTGAGAAAACTTTTCAGCTTGCGAAGCCCCTTAATCTGCAAAAAAACTGGCTCTGACTACAGAGTTAATTTGTTTGTCAAATTTCAATTCAGGATCAAAAATAACTCCCAGATTTTTAACCTTTTCATGGATGTTTTCTTCAAAAGGGCCCAGAGTAGGTCTTAAATGATGTAAATGGTGAGAAGGGCCAAACAATATAACTTGTCTTTTTTTGATTCAACTCTAGGAAATTATTTTCCATCCAATTCTTGATGTCTTCTAAACAAGCCAGCAAGGAAGACACTGAATCAGAACCTGATTTTAGAGGAAAATAAAGCTGAGTGTCATCTGCGTAAATGTGGTATGAAACTTTATGAGACTCAAATATAAAACGAAGAGGGAGCAAATACAGGGAGAATAAAAATACAGGCCTCTTTATCTTCCAAGGAACCTTTACAGATCAGGTCACAGATGAATTATGTACCCGAACAAAAGGAGATTATGATATAATGTGTGCATCCTATAAAAGCATAGAACAATGGCATTCCAGTCACCTCTTATGGGTCTTTATTCACCAGAGTTGTAAAGTATTTGAGTAATAGTACTTCACTTCTATATTTAAGTATTATTTTGGGGAATCTGTACTTTACTTGAGTTCTGTTAAAACCAAATACTTATTTATGAATAATTCTACTCTATTTATGAATACAGTAATATTTATTAATCTAAACAATTCTATTTATGAATAATAACAAGCCAATCAACCATACACATTTAACTTTCCTTCTATTTAAAAAAGCCAATTAAATTTATTTTAGTGTAAATACTGATAAGGCAGCAATTTAAGGGGGTCTGAATACTTTCCGTACCCACTGTATATATATACATTCCCCATCAGGCTGGGTAGCTTGCAAATGTTTGTTTGTATGTTGATGGTGAACCTTACGTTTACAACACTTACCAAAGTATTGCATGGCTCATATATACACTTACCATTAGGCACTGCAAAAAAAAAACTTACATGAAGAATGATATTGATTTGAAATCATAATCTTCTCTAATACTTAAACTATACTGAAAATGATTTTAGTAAACACACTAGGGATTCAAGGACTCTAATGTTATTTATAATGTTAACCCTGAAATTGATATGGACTTGGGTGGTCACATGATAGGTCATCTGTGTTTTCTACAGTTTCCAGGCACTGGATTTCTCTCTCTGAGTATTAGGTATCTGGACATTAACTGAAAATATGTTTACTCAGATGCTCAAAACGATCTTTGCAGAGCTGGGCTATCAGCTGGAGAAAGAGACCTGAGGAGATGAACAAAGTAATGTAGGCTACTACTAGCTGCATTATTGTACATTTGCTCTAATTATACTAAACCCCTACAACCTAATATACAGTATACAGTATGAAAACACAAATTTTGAAGAATAGGCAGAACCATGTCTTTTGTTTGAAAAAAAAAAAAACTGAACTGTGAAAGTCATACAATGATAAAATATGACATACTGGATTTTATATGAGTCTATGATTAATATGAAATATTTTAATAATCAAGTTTAAAGTAAACGTGCTAAGTTCTTAGAAATAACTTCACATCCATATTGGTTTCATACATTTAAAAAACTTTTGAAACATTTTAACAACGAGTAATAAAGATATATAAGATAAAGATATTGTCATGGTGTAGTTATTGTTGTACTAATTTTGACATTTAGGCAATTTAGAAAATATAGTTATTTTGCATGGCCCCAGCCTAAGGATTTTAACCTTTTTTATGTGATGGCCATACAAAAAATAGTGTTGTCCATGGTTTCAGAATTTGTTGTGGGTGTATGGGACAGCCTGGATGAGTGAAATTTTGTCAGCTTGGATACATTCATTAGCTAACAAAATTTGGAATGTAAGTTCTTTTGTATTAAGGTATTTAGCGTGACACCAAAACAGGTAGTAGCAATGGCAAGTACATGTCAGAGCCCATACTTCTATACTTTAACTTGAGTAAAAAGTGTAGTCAGTACTTCAACTTTTACCAGAGTATTTTTAAACATGAGTGTCTAAACTTGACTCAAGTAAAGGATACTTTTGCCATCTCTGTGCAGAGCACATAGCAGAGCGAGGAGGAGGTGATAGAGGTTTAAACTCTGAAATACACCAAATATTGGATCTTCATGAAGAATACATTTGAAAAATGTTTGTATGATTAAAAGCTTTAATAGTGTCAATAGTTTACTGTACCTTTGACTAGGTTAGCAGGACAGTGTTTTCTTACAGCATAGTAGTCTACTTGGTATGTGGAATCCTTGAAGCTATTTCTGCTCAAAATGAATTCATGAGCACAAACACTATAAACATATAGCACATGTTAGACAACTCACTGTGGAAAACATTTATGCTACCTGATATGATGAGATCATGCTTTCACATCAGATGCTAACGAACTAAGAAGAAAAACAAACTGCAGAGCTCTCACCTCTTTTTTTCTGGAGACCTGTTTTTGCTCATCTTTCTCGCTTTCAGAACTAATTTGTATTGACTTATTTTGTGTTTCCTTCACATTTCAGATTTTCTTGCAAACACCACAAAAACTGATTCACAGAATGTGCAACCCTCTGGAGGTATTAACGTATGTATTAAAAACAGCAATATTGCTTGTAGTCATAGAGATTCTTCTTGGAGCCAAACACTGGTAAGGTAAAGTGTGCACTTAATGAGTCACAAATCACAGCGTTAGCAACAGCACGGAGGACTCATTAAAGGTACAAACTATGTATGACCCTTAATTGAATAGTGAGTGCATAGATTTTGATTATCAATGATATAATAATCTGCTGTCTGGTAAAATCCTTTATTATTGTATTTGGAGCATAGTGGTACTCTTATTCATACTTGGGCTACATGTACACATATTTGTGCACTTTAATTTGTGCTTTCTGCTTTGTTCATGCATATGCAGTATCTGAGAATTATACTCTACCATTCAAAAGTTTGTGATCAGTAAAACTTTTTTTTTTTTTGTAGGAATGTTTTTGAAAGATTTGAATGGCAGTGAAGCTGGTCTCTTCAAAAACAAATTGTATAAACCACGTGAAATAAAAAAAATGTTTACATCATTCACACACAAAAAAGCATGTTTTAGATGTTCTACAAAGCGCCACAAGGTGGTACCATTGAGTCAACAATTAGTCTCATCCAGGGACTTCTCATGTATAGAGGATTCCTGTGGATTCATTGAAAAATATTTGTTTGGATCATGTTTATTTGTCTTTATTTTGATATATTTCACTTCAGTAGCAAACCTAATGACATGTGATTATCATTTCAACATATTGTTAGACTACTTGCTACGTGTTATAGGCCTATAACCTCAAAATAATATGAGACAAGGCACAAGAGCATCAGTATCAGATGATATGATTATCATTTCAGCAAGTTGCTAATTACTAATTGTCACATATTATTCTGAGATCATATAACATCAACATCAGTCAGACATTGACGCTGACTCATATTTGGCTTTATCCATGCCTTCACTAGAATTAGCCAAGCACTTAATTAGGAGTAGCCTATCCGAATACATAAACAAATAAAAATATATAATCTGACAAATATGGCCTATAAGCATGCGAACTATTGAACAGGTGGGTTGGTTCAAAATTCAAGTTAACTTAAAAAAGTTAGCCTACTTCACACAGTGCACTCATTGAATTATGTCTTTTATCGTTCCACTAGGTTCATTTGTTGATATCCGGGGGAGATGCAGTCTAATGGTTCTCAAGCGTTTCAGAGTAAGAACCAAATCAGACATAGCCGACGTAATAACGTATTAACTGTATTCAAATTGCAGACAGACCATAAATTAGAAATAAAACATGTAACCAGCCATTAAAATGAGTTATTATTTAGTGTAAATGAATGTACATTTAAACATTACATAATCGTGTCTCGTACTTCCCCCTAGGCACTCCGCCTACATGTGCGGCACATTATATCAACAGCGCCAGTCAAGCCTGTCGGGCTCCGCAGCTCATGTTAACAGGCAATTAATCAGCCGGTTGATTACAGCGTGCTGCGAGCACTGAAGTTGACTGAGGGCGATATGTGCGATACCATTCGTCAACGTGTCACAGGAGCTACAAAGGCTCGAGCTGGAATGGAGCGAGATGTTTTTGATTACACGCTTCCAAGGAGATGAACCAAACAAACGTTGCCATGAACGAGTGTGTTTGGTTACAAACACACTGAGGGCAGGGGAAGGCTGCCGGAGCCAGGTGCCGGGCTGTTGTGTTTGTCTATGGTGCGGTTGCCATGGAAACAGAGGGACCAGCGTCGACGTCCTGTCCGTCCCTCAGGGGAGACTTCGTACACACGCTGTGTGAAATGCTGAATATGACAGTAAATAGCTTTCAGAAAACGTATTTTTGACTTTGTTATTAAGTGTTTGGTGTTATTATTTTTTAAATACAATTTTACTGCAATAATAATTGTAGTAACTACTATTTTTGGAGATTTACCGTATTTACATTTTTTTACCGTTTACCAATGTATGAGAGGAAGCACAGGCAGGTACAAAGAGCTTCATTTTATGCGCCAAGTGCTTAATAAGGCAAAAAAAAAAAAAAAAGGTTTCAACCTTACAAAACCAGTAAAGACAAGAGACTTCCGTTATGATTTTTTAACAACATCAGTTGTTGTTAATGTACTTTATTTGTTATTTAAAATAGACCAAAATACAAAAACAAAACTTAAAATAAAACACACCAAAAGTCATTTATAATGGTTTATACAAAGGCAGTTTCCAGTTTCAGTAACACAGTAAGCTAACTAAAACACAGATATGACAATGAATTTTTGGAAATAATAACAGAAGTGTAGCTAAACACACATAAAGCTGGATTACCATTATCCTTTGAAGAATTACATTTTTGACAAGTTTCGGCAATGAATATTGTTAGAATTTAATGACAGCAATTATGTAATTTTTGGAATAATAATACATGTTGGAAAAAATAAATCTCTTAAAGGGCTTCCTGTGTTTCGCTTCTCCCTGTCTGAAGCATTGTGATGTTTAGATGCACCTTTCTTGTAGCTATTAAACAACAACATAAAAACTGAAACAAATACACCACTTATCTGTTTCCCCACTTGAAGAGCTGTCTTCATGCTTGCTCTTTGAGATTTTCACCTGAAATCCTACATACTGTACAGCAGACGCTGGTCTGCATGAAAGGAGTGAGACTAGTCCTCACCAGTTCCTTCTTACCCTTTCAACTTTCTAATGAAAACCAACTGTAATACTATGTTTAAACACAAACATTTACAACACTTCCTGTGTTACATTGCATAGTGGCTGTGTGATTTTACAGGTCAAAGTTCAAGTTCGGCTTTGGTCCAGACCTAAGTGCTGATAAAGATGAAGCTCAGAGCTTGTTGACATGGAAACAGTGGGGCCTTAATTGGCCTTCGTCTTCTCCTCGTAAGTCCCAGCATTCTTGTAGGCCCCTACGTAGCCCGTGTTTTCCACAATCTCCTCCCGCCCACCTTTTCCTTTGCCTTTCCCACTCTCATCAAAGCGCTCCTTGTGTGAGCCTGTATATTTAGATGTGTCGGTTAACCGATCCACTGCGCCAGTTTTTGCCACTTTCTAAAATGGTTAAACAAATAAACATACAAATGAATAAGGAAATTAATAAAACTATTGAAATATAGCAATATCAGTCAAAGCTGGAGAGCAATATACTATATGAATGAATGAATATATATACAGCATATATATATATATATATATATATATATGTGTGTGTGTGTGTGTGTGTGTGTGTGTGTGTGTAGGAATAACGGTGATATCATAAATGGAAAATAATAAAAATGGAACTAGAAATTACCCAGAAAATGTGCTACAGCAAACCAAATAACATTTTTATTTAATCAGATGATCTGCACAAGGCTCTTTCAGCCTGCCTCAGCAGAACCTTTTCTGCATTGAATGAATTCCACATATACATCACATATTCCTACAACTCCTTTTGAACTTTTAACTAGTTGCCAGGTTTGATTTATTAATGTTTGATTTGTTACTGCCCTCTAGAGCTGAACCGACTGAGAAATGATGTAGTAGAAACTTATTAGTGTTTCTCAGTCTTGCTTCTGGAGGTCCACCAACACTATTAATTTTAGGTGTCTCACTAATCACATCCAATTGACACATCCATTTGAGTTCATAGAGAGCTCTACAGCTACAGATGGACTGAATTATGTGTCAGATACAGGAGACATCCAAATTGTGCAGTGTTGAAGAAGCTTCATGAGCAACAACTGCTTGGCGGGCTTGGTTTTTCTTAGTTCATCTTATATTTTAAATATTCAGGCAATAACCTCCCGTATTTCTGTCACATCAAAGATATTAGTGTCTTAGATATTATATGGAAGAAGTTGATGCAGCCTAGTAACTGGATGGATGATGTCTTAGAATTGACTTGCAGTGAAGAGGATGAAATGGCACACCAATAACCTTTCTGTCTTCTTGCTTTTTTCTATAGGATTATTCAATGTTTTTTTAAAGAAGTCTCTTACGCTTGCCACAGCTGCATTTATTTGATTAAAAAATACAGTTACTTCATTATTATTGTGAAATATTATTACAAATAATATTTAAATATTTAAATAACTGTTTGTCTATTTGAATGTTTTAAATTGTAATTTATTCCTGCACTCTAAAAAATGCTGGGTTGTTTCAACCCAACTTTGGGTCAAATATGGACTAACCCAGCTGTTGGGTTAAATTTTTTAATTAAAATTTTAACCCAAAAGTTGGGTTAGTCCATATTTGACCCAAATTTGGGTTGAAACAACCCAGCATTTTTTAGAGTGTGTGATGCAAAGCTGAGTTTCAGCAGCCATTGCTCCAGACTTCAGTGTCACATGATCTATCAGAAATCATTCTAATATGCTGATTTGGTACTCAAGAAACATTTCTTATTATTGTCAATGCTGATTAGTATTTTTGTGAAAGCACAAACAGTGAAACCATGATTATTTTCCAGGATTCTCTGATGAATCGAAAGTTAAAAAGAACACCATTTATTTGAAAATGGAAATCTGTAACATTATAAATGTATTTACTGATCAATCACTTATTATCAATTTAATGCATCCTTGCAGAATAAAAATATTAATTTAGTATTATTTTTTTTAATTATTACTGACCCCAAAGTTTTGATTGGTAGTATATAACACAATTGTTTTGAAATGGCAACACTGATTTCAGTATAGTTACATTTATTTATATAAACGTACATTTTTCATGCAAAAATACCTCAAATTATTGTTTTCAAATGGTTGGCTTACCGTTACACCAACGTTGGCGGGTTCTTTGCCCTCAATTAGCTTATGCATAGACTGCAGTGCCTCTTCTTTGCTTTGATTTTTGAACCTCTTTGGGGCCAATTCTTCTAGAGCTTTCTGGAACTCCTCATATGTTATGACCCGAGATGTCTTTGCTCTGAATAATATGGTAAACATAGCCTTTTCAACACCTCTGTTACATTGCCAGTACAGTGTTTTTTTTCTATGAAAATACTAATATTTACAATATCTACTTTTTTATTTTAAATTTTATGTAGTTTATTTTGCATGCACTGTAAAAATTTAAATGTAAATAGCCTTCTTGAACACAAAATGATGAAAAACTCACTTGACTTTTGTGAAGACAATATCTACATCAGTGCTGGTGACATTCTTGCTGTCAATAACTTTGCAGTCTTTGCACAGTTTAGCCCAGTTTTTACCATTCAACTCCTTTCCAGTGGCTTTGGTGTCACCATGAACAGCAAACTTCTTAAAGGCGCTCAGAAGCTGGTCCATTTCTGTGCTTTCTGCCATACTGGGTATTCTGCCAAACAAATAGTAAGACTATGACCTAATGGAACAAATTCCCAAGAAAAAGATATGTATTAACTGTCCAAATAAGACATCTGCAGTAGTGGCATGATCAAGCCTTAATTTGACAAAAAGATGAAAGAGAAGACAGAATACTGTGGTACACTAAAAAAATATTACATTGCATTATTATCTGATAGGAATCTCAGATGTGTATTATTCAGTATACACAAATAATGTCTAGCATAAGGTTGAGCCCAGACAACAAAACATCTTACGCTCTGATTTAGCAGTTCTGACTGATCCAAGTTATGTGAATTATCTAAATTGTCCTGTGATTTTGGCTTTGAGATATTTCACTAATTGTCTTCTTGTTGCAGAGCTTTGGCAAACTTCATCAGCAGGTCACCCTCTTTTCCATTGCCTTTTGAATGGCCTGAATGAATAAAATACCAATTAAAGAATCAGCCAAAAGTAACACATTAGGTGTATGTGGAGCAACAGAGCCTGATGTAAATTCAAGGGCCGTAAGGACTGAGCTAATGGTGTGATTATCAGCACTCAGCAGACGGCTAATTATTCACTTCAGAGCGCTGCTCAACAGACAAAAACACACTGATGTTAGAATTTCCTAAACATTTCAGACAACCTCTTTCTCTCCTTGATAGTTTTGCTTTTTGTGTGTGTGTGTGTGTGTGCTGTTAATAGAACTCAGCCAGCTTCCTAATGCTAAGATACAAAATCATGTCTCATAGTGATTAAGTGTCCTGTCACTATGAAAATCTCTTATTAACTATAAAGATAAAGTTTTAAAAATCATTCTAATTCTAGTAGGGATGTTCACAGTACAACTATAACAATAAAGACACAGAGGAACAATATAGTTGGAATCAATTCCAGAAAGATATTTCCAGCTGAAGAATGATAAAACAGCCAATCAGAATCCACCGACTTTAAAGAAACTTTGTTTGATATTTTGAGCCGATTTTAGAACACACATTGTTTTCTTTATAATGCGTCTCCTAGCAATGAGGCGCGATGACTTTGTTGTGTTCTGAACAACAGGAAGTCTGGTAGCATGTGATTCTCAGTCGTCTAGTGCAGTGGTTCCCAACCCTGGTCCTGGAGGCACCCCAACACTGCACGTTTTGTATGTCTCCTTAATCAAACACACCTGATTCAGGTCATCAGCTCATTAGTAGAGACTCCAAGATCTGAAATTGGTGTGTCAGAGAAAGGAGACATGCAAAATGTGCAGTGTTGGGGTGCCTCCAGGACCAGGGTTGGGAACCACTGGTCTAGTGTATGATACCCCGTTTTTCCTCTGTAAATATCTCCAAAGTCGGCAAGTGTAGGATGCCTAGTGTTTTAAAATCTGTTCCAATTTTAAATGTTGAGTAGTGTATTCCAGCCTTTCAGTGATACCTTCTTTCACATTAATACTGTACTGAGAAAAGGGACAGCAGGGACAATATGCAGGCATAAAATAAATATAAACATTGACATTAGTGATGTAAAGTACAAGAATGCATTGTCTCTGTACTTGCAACTTCAATGGATCTGTGAATGTGTTTGGATAACATGGAATTTCAGAAGTGAGGCCTAGACTTCTAGACTTTCTTGGTGTGTCTCCACAGTACAGCCATTGTTAATGGAGGCGACAGTAGGTATGTGGATGGTCTGATGTGTCTCAGAGTTATTGTGGAATGTTTCAGATGGATGTCAGAAGTTTGGCAGCCGATGGCCTCATGGAGAGGTGATGAGTGTACAGCAGCAGTGGGTGGGCTTGCCCTGGCTTCAACTCCAACTCCTTTAGCCATCTGTAAGTCTCCTCAGCACATACACATCAAACAGTCTCTTATGCTCGGCAAGGCTGCATTTATTTGATAAAAAAATACAGTAAAAACAGTCATATTGTGAAATATTTTTACAGTTTAAAATAACTATTTTCTATATTCATATATTTGAAAATGTAATTTATTCCTGTGATGGCAAAGCTGAATTTTCAGCAGCCATTACTCCAGTCTCCAGTGTCGCATGACCGTTCAGAAATCCCTTTAATATGCTGATTTGCTGCTCAAGAAACATTTCTTATTATAATCAATGTTGAAAACAGTTGTGCTGCTTAGTATTTTTGTGCTGATACATTTGATCAGGATTCTTTGATGAATGTGAAGTTCAAATGAACAGCATTTATTTGAAAATAGAAATCTTTGGTAATATTATAAATGTCTTTTCTGTCAGATTTGATTCATTTAATGTGTCCTTGCTGAATAAAAAAGAAAAAAAAAGTTATGCAGACAAGTTATTTCCTATTTGTTGTGGAGAATGAATCCAAAAATTGTTGCACCATGTTGTAATCATCACAGGTTTGTCAAACAGTCCCTCAATTGCTGAACCACTGAAGTAATCTCATTTTATAAGTCGTCATGCTTAACATGTTGCATGTGTGTGCTGTGTATTTCCCTAATACAGTGTGTGAGGGATCATGTGCGAGCTGCTGCTGAGGTTATTCCCACACAGGCGGCCGAATAAAGACATCATTGTGAGTGTGAGCCTCACCCTTCTAACACACATGCAAAGGCAGTCGTCCACATAAACACACACTGCCCACCTCCCAAGAGATCCCCTCACTCAGGACAAGACTTTGTGGAAGTGTCCATGGAAACCATTGTATTAAAGACGGAAACAGAGACACGTGTATCCACCCATCCAGACAAAACACACAAACAAACAGTAGACACATCAAAATAACAAAGGCACGTCCTGAAGACTTTATGAGCAGATCATAATCATCTGCTTCAGCCTTAGATATTTTTTTAGCTAAACCTGCCTGCGGGATAACTGTATTCCCAACACAACATGTTTCTTTATACTTACTCTGTATTTCATACTCAACTATAATAGATTTAATATGTGATAATCACTTCACAAACTGTAAAACGTTACATGTTTTATAGACAACTTAATGACTGTTTACTTGATCAGACAGACTGCAACCCTGTAATTAACCTGATGATGTCAGTAGTGTTTTGTTCAACATTTATGATATGAATAGCATCCTTATGTGCCAATTTGCCACTGGGAAAACATCATGCAGCATATTTAGCCTATACATAATTGCAATCTAAATCATTTTAGTCAGTGGCAGTTGTAATTATCCAAAGTGAACATGATTTCATCTTCTGGATATTGATGGCCCTTAGTCACACACTGCAGATGTTACTACTGTCCATTGAAAAACTTTTTTTTTTTTGTAAGTTTTAAATTCATAAAATTTAAATTTCATACATTTTAAATTTATTTTTTGCAATTAAAACATGATATTTTGTACCCAGTTTGACTTTTGTGCTGTTTATTTATGGGAAAATAAGTAATAAGTAAGGAAAATAATAAATAGCACAGTGTCTCATAGCAATGAATGCAAATTTTAAATTAGTTTAGGGGCAAAATCAGTAGCATATATCATCTTGTCTTGAAATAACACCACTCTGTGTTTGTTATGTCAGTTTATGCACTGAATTCACATTGTACTGTGCAGCCATACTCATATAAGGCATATTTTATAATGTAAACCACAGCTGCTGATGCATGGCGTATTATGTGTCTGTATGATGTTATGTGTGCATGCATATAATGAATCAGACAAGTACATGTATGCATGTTTACAAGAGTGCATTTGTATATGAAGACATTCTGTCACATTAGTATCAGTGAAATCGCTCTTACCTGAGTTACTGACTTCCAGCTGCTGGCAATCCACACGCACACACACTCCCGAGTCTGCACAACTTCTATCCTGTCCTGCTCTCTCTTTCTCTGTCTCTCCTGTTACTCCCTTCTGAAATGGGCTTTAAAGGCTGAGGGCTTGTTATCATCTGTTTATTCCTGTATCCATGGAGACGTCCTGTTTAACATCGAGGGATGGCAATAAAAGAGAGAGTGTGTGTGAAAGAGAGAGAGAAAGAAAGAGAGCCTACTCGAGTTGTAGTGACCAGGGTCATTTATCAGTCGGGGTGAATTGGAGGCTTGAGCACAGCAACATAGAGAAGCCAGAAAAAGACTTTAACACTGTCCAGGGTGTGGCACTTGTGTTTTATGTATGGTTTGTGTTTATCTTTTGTTTTGCCGTGCAGTGTTTGTATGTAAATGCTACTCATTCAATGGTGTGAATGTATAAGAAGAGAGCGAGGGATGCAATTCATCCAGCACTACATGCATGTGTCAGTATGCGTGTGTGAGAATGCTCATCCAATACTGCTTGTGTGTGTGTCCATACTTAGCTACACTTTGGAACAAGATTGGTCCTCAGAAGTGCTCAAGCCAAATCTGGCAAAACCTCTATTTTAAAGGGGTCATATGATGCGATTTCAAGTTTTCCTTTCTCTTTGGAGTGTTACAGGCTGTCCGGTTCAACCCAAATATTCAGATGTGTCCAGTGCATTTTATGGAGGACTGTTTCCTGATCCTGGTAGATTAGACTACAATGCCGGCTGTTCTGACTCAGAGATTGTAAGTACGTTTTTTATATAAAAATAATGTTCTTTTTAGCAACATCATATGACCCCTTTAAGGACATTCAGGAACAATGTCATTTGTAAAACTGATATATAAATAAAGGCGGCTCAATTGTTGCAAGCTTTCAGTCAGTTGTAGAGGCTGGGTTTAAGCAAACTAAATGATTGGTGAAACCTGACATAAATCACCAGGCATTTTACCAGCAAATTTAAAAAATGAAGTATATGCACCGATAATAACATGCATTTAGAAAAGAAATGGATTTTCATTGCATGCTGCTCTAAACGCTCTGGCATGCTTGATTTTTTTTGGTCAATAGAAGCATTAAGCATTCAAATATTTTTGAATGATTACCGTTCTGGAAAACTGTCATGTTCTGTCTCTATTTAAGCTAATAAAATAATTAAACCTCAAACCACTATTTTATGTCCAAGTATTTATTTAGGTAACCGTGTTATAAGTAGAAATAATATTTCTTGTCTTTTTCTCGTTTGGCACCTCTCCTTCATCCACTGAATTAATAAGTTCCATGGTTGCCCTCACTGTCTCTTTCCTCTTGTTGTCCGAAGAACAGGACATATAAAAAACAGAATTACGTTTTAGCAACAGCCTGGAGCCAAATGTGTTAGAGCAGAGCCAAGATTTCCATAGGAGATCTATTTTTAATTTTGTTTGTATGTATTTATTTATGTTTTAAACCATTTTTGCCATATGGAATGACTTTTTATGAGTAATACAACATGCAGGATCAAAATATATATATGAGCCTTTTAAACAGTTTGTACCAGTACAATATATTTGAACCATCGATCAACAAAAATGCATAACAAATATTTGGAGCAAGTTAAATTTTTCACCAATAACATATAGCAACAGTTTAAATGAACTGAATAATTCAGGCTCATATATATAGAATTGTGATGGAGCATTTGCATTGCCAGTTGTATTATGGCACATTAGACCGATCAAACTGCCCTTCGAACTGTTCGCCAAAATTTTACTTTAACTCCTTACACATACAAAGAACACTTTTGTTCACTTGCTGAATAATGGTGCTGAAAAATGCTTTACATTCAGATTTTTTAACAGAGAAGTTTGTTTAAATGCCTCTTCATCTTTGAACAGCTGTTCATCTTTCCACAGCTGTGCCACTTGGCATTTCATCACTGCATGACTTTACAATATAATACAATAATTTCAATAAATATGCTAGATTTATATTAAAAAAAACGTATTAAAATTATTTTAAAAATAAACCAGTTATAATATTGTTAAATATAAAATATGATCAAATGTATAAAAAAAATTAATGGATAATCTAAATATTTATTTGTTTATTTTGAATGTTTTTTGAGTGTTGGAGTATCATGACAATCAGCATCTAAAGCTATAATGCTGAACTTTATAAGGTTGTGCTCTTTCACAGCTCAACAGCACAGCATTTATCCTCTTCTTGGTAGTACAGTTAGGTCACGTGTACTGTTTCCTAGGTTCAGCAAATATATTGTGGCTGAGCAGATTTTTTGAGTGTTTATGTATGCGTGTACTTTAAGAAGCTCTCTTTAAGAAACTTTGGAGTGTTGCCATTCCAAATAATGATCTAATGAAATGATCTTTCATCACTCACTTGACCAGATTACATTACAGATGCCTCCACCAGAAACAGTATTGAGACTTGCTATGGGAAAGGAAAACTACATACCACGACAAAACATTGGGTGTGTGGTGTGTGTTTAAGAGGAAGGGAACAAGACACTGTGTTCAACTAGGATCAAAGCCATTAAAACTAAGAATACCTTTGTCAGTATTAAAATGTTGAAATATCAAGTGTCTTCATTTTATTTATGTTTTTATAAAGGACAATCAGTAGATATGTAGTTATTTAGAACAATTGTTCTCATTAGGCCCCCCAGTGGGCCCTCAGCAAACTTCCAAATGGGTCACAAGATGATTTAAAATTACCTAATTATATTAAAAAGAAACTTAACTTGATTCAAATGCAACAACACACAAATTTTCCCCTAATAACAACTGTTTTTATTGAAGATCATACCGAATCAGAATCTTGAATCTTCTGTTATCTCAAAATTATTTGTGGTTAATTATTTTAATATAGCAACACTCGCAATGACTGTTAAGAATTTTATTTTTTGAAAGCAAGCAGCTTTATCATAAATACAGCAGAAATACCAGAGTAACTTGTCCAATATGAGGGGCCTTTGAATATGGTGTTGGAAAATGGGGGGCCTTCGGGTCAATAATTTGCTTTGTTTTTTTAGTGGCACCCCCCTTTGAAAGTGGAAAGCCACTGCATTCATGTCACATTTAAGAGACTGAGAATGGCATGCATTATTTTTGTATTTTAGCTTTGAAAACAAGAGCTCATCCACAACATGAGCTTTAAATGCATAGCCAATAAACAACACCCATCCATCCTACGCTACCCTGAAAAACGTTCACATGCTGAAATAACACAGTTATAGACATTATCATTTAATATGGAAACATACTGGATTGGATTATTTCTTTCTGTAAAAATAAATGATTTTGACCCTACAGATGTGTGACATGCACTCATAGCCCTGTTAAACTTTTATGTTTCAATAAAGTGTTGAGTGATGTCTGTTACACATTCAGTGGCTAAGACACACACTGTATCTCTATGACCTTTTGATGATTGACATGTTTAGTGGGTGTAAAGCGAGTTGTCATGGAAACACTTTGTTGTGATATCAAACTTCACACTGCAAAATGGCGTGCAGAAAGTGAACGGTCCAGTATCTGCCATAGTGTGATATTTACAGTGCACAACATGTCAAACAAACTGAATTCTTGCACTACAGCATTTCAGCGCATCAGACGGGACATGACATGCATTTACCAGAGTTTCAGTTCATATCCTGTTTTACCCTCTCACTCTCAGCACCTCTTTATCACCCATATTATTTAAGCATGCAACAAATCAGTTTTATACTCACAAATTAAAAACATGAAAGCTGACCAGTCAGAGGTGTTTTTAATGCAGTATGCATCATCGATTTGGATTTTGCAAAAACATACTCTTCCTTTTCTCATTTGTTCATTTACTTAGCTGCTTTTCTATGCAAACTAATGTTTCTCCATTTTCAGCTCATTTAGCACTGTGAAAGTAGAGAAACCCATGGCCAACAGGAAACAGATGTGCACCTCAGAACAAAAGGTCTGGAGCTGTTGGTTGGTGTCTTTGCATGTTTGATGTATAATGGAAAGAATCAACTCTCCACCAAGCACCGTTCATTGAAGTAGCTTGTTTTTGCATGTGACAGAATATGAAGTGTGTAAAGTGTTTTCGAAGCCTGTCTGCGTGTGTGACCATTGGAAAATATAGTACTGCATCTATATGTCCAGCAGTGACCACTGGTGTCCACAACAATTCTGTGATTTAATGAACACAAGCGGTGGGAAAGATGTGTGAGAGCCACTGGAGGGTCAAACTAAAGGCATCAAACACTCACTTCATATTTCAGCTTTTGTTTAAACTGTTGTCATAGAGACGATTGCTGCTAGCATAGCTTATTTTCTTTCCTTTTTTTTCTGGTTAAGGACTATAGATGATGAGATCACCGCTGGAAATCAATGAAACAGATTGAGAGACATTGATCAGTGAAAGGACACACAGTTCTGTTTAACCAATCTTTCCCTGTCAATCCTACCTAAGCTGCATGTGGAGGCCACAGCTTATTTATCTGCTGTACTGAACTGAAGTAAACCTGTTCAGAGCAAAGGTACATTATGAACGGTACTAATGCTGTCCACTACATGTCTTCCAAAGTTGTCAGATTTATTGTCTTTTCACACTAAACAGCTGTTTGTCTTTGCCAATGTCAGCTCCAGTCAAACACATTTCACACTACAAGACTTGGATTGTAGGCAGGTCTAGATATTTAGCTTATTAAATATCTCTCAGGCATTGCCGCATCGGCATCACATCAGTTCTCTCAGATCATGTCCTTGATCATTTAAACATAGAGATGGTCACTCACAAGCGAACACCGATTTGCCTGATTTTGGGCTTTTGTCTACAGTACAACATCCATTAATTGTTGTGCTAAAATCAATCAATCAGGACTAAAATCATGATAATAACATAGCAGCATAGCTGGCTGTCAATATTTTGTTTGTATAGCACTTTTCACAAAACACATTGTTTCAAAGCGTCTTTAGAGAGAATCATGATGTTAAAGTTTATAATAGCCTATCTTCATGCCTTATAGTCGCATTTAGCAGATTAGAGCTGGGCAATAATATAGTGTACATTCTGCAATGATATAAACAATCAAGCAGTTGAGATTTGCTATATCACTTTATGTGAGTACTGTATGTGTGTGGGTAAATTTATATCCATCCTGAAACACTCGAAAAACGTAAAAATATTGCTGGGTGATAATATAATTTACATTTTGCCATGATATAAACAATCACACAGCCGAGATTTTGCTGTATGTATGCGAATAAAGTAGGATAAACTTAAATATCTAACTTTATGTATAGAGCTGTACGATAATATACTTTACATTTGGCATTTTATATGTATTACTATGCTAGTGTACAGTATGTGTGAGGGTAAAGTTTGATAGGCCTGCTTCTTGTAGGATGGAGAGAAAAAAACGAACATGGGTGGAGCTTTGAATATCAAATCCCTTGATCTCACTATCCCATACTGACAAAGCAAAATTCCCTTCAGTGCACACAGTATAATTCATGAGAAGTCATAATGCATGTCATAATAAGGCCTTTGTTTGAATATGATGATCAGAACGGTCTATAAATCTGTTCAACCAACAATAGTTTGAACACGTTATACATCAGCCAAGGTGAATTCTGAAAACTAAGCTCTTCATCTGTGGTGAATAATTGCGTGCAGTGTGCTCCTGGCTCCAGCCAAAAGCTTTCTGTCAGTAATGCTGCTGCTGTCAACGTGAGTCCTGTCACAAGTTCTGCTGCATGCCTCTCTTCAGCAGAGCAACTCTGACTGTCAGTGTTACCATGTTAGTGTCCTGATGCCATGGTTACTCTGGGTACACAGCACTGCAAAAACAGCCACCTGGGTTTTAGAAGGACCACATCCAAGACCAAACAGAAATCGCAACTAGCCTTTTTTGAAAGAAATTTCTAAACACATTTTAAAGGCTTATAAAAATAGAATATACCTATGAAAATGTTAATATACCTATGAATGATTTTAAAAGCGGAATAGGCAGCACAGTTTTATAGTAGTTTGAGATTAAATGGATGTAGGAGCAGAATGTGATACTGAGCTTTGAAAGCAGGAGAGGAAGGAGAGTGTGAAAGATTTTATACAGCTGGTCAGGGAACAGGATCCATCTTGTCAGTGCTATTTTCAAAACCAAAACAATAGCCCCATTCTTAAGGCAAGGAAATCACAAGTGTAACTGCCAATATCATACTTCAGTTGTTGGTAAATAAACTTCAGTGGTTAACCACACTCTTATTTAGTGGATATTGTGACTCAAGAAACATCTGACAAATTCTGTCACATGTCTCTCTCTATTCAGCCATATTGAGCAAGTTTTCATCTTAACCGTTGGGAGTCTAAAAAAGACTTTTCCTCAGCTCCATGTGTGACCATTACCTAATATTGTTTTTGCCTACATTATGGCCTTGACAACAGGCTTTCTGTCAACTTTCAGACCTGGCAGAGAACAGTAGTAGTGTTCTCAACTGATAAGCCCATAAATATGTAGTATTAAAATATACTAGGACCTGCAGCAGGTGTTTGGGTGACATGATTGTGTGCAGGTCTATGCTACTGAAAGCTCTTTGTCACTACAGTTCTACACAATTACAGAGTCAGAAATTTACTTACATTCTTCTTAGAGCATGTGTATTTGCACTAGATGTGAATATTGGATATCTGGGTAATTTCTCAACTGAGTCTCCAAGTTGTCATGTATTGGTATTACCCAAGTGTTGCTATAGACACCCGTGACTATTTTTGCTTTGGATTCTGAATGAATTGAAGTGTACACTAGTACGGACTGTAGAACCTTTAAAGGAAATGTACTTGGAAAAATGTCTACTATCGATTCAGGACACAAAAACAGCGCAACAATCATGCAATGCTACACATGCTTTTTATTGAGGAGGAGAAATTGAGGTTAAAAAGATAAAAGGTACAGGAATGGCAATGATAACTCTGGCTGTGTTCAGAATGGCATACTATTGTATTATTCATAATGTATCTGCAGTATATATACTGCACATCATTTGCACATTTTCCACATGCCTGGAAAATCCAGATGATCTAAATGTACAAAATACTGCACACTGTGTGGAATGTATTGTGGGATACACACTTGATTTTGTTCCATTTCCATTTGATGACTGAACAACTGTTATTTATAACATATCATGATCATACTTATAAAGTATATTTTTACACAGCACTGAAATTAATGAAATCTCATTTAAATTATATGCAGTAAAATAGTATTCCTTTCCAAACAAACATAGCCTGAGAGTCATTTCCTGTTTACTGTCTTTATTAAAGAATGAGTGGCTAGATTTCAAATTAGAATTTTTGCCCACCCCTTTAATAATCCTAACATTGCAGGAGTCTTTTGCAGTGTAATATTTATTAAAGATGGTTTTGAGAGAAATTTACAAAAATATATCACTCATTCTTTAGTTGATATAACACATAAAAAACCCTGAAAATAACAGATGATATTAAAACATTGATAACGTTAAAAAAAGTGTAAAAAAAAGTGTGTAGGAATACAATTTTATTAAAAATAATAATAATAATAATAAACATTTTCATATTGCTTCCCCATCAGGCCATCATTCAGCCACTCCCTCTACCCAAAACATCATGTACCAAGAATGTTTCGGTTCATAGATAAACAACTGTGTATGGGTTGTCTGAGCAGCATTTGAGATGAAGGGAGTGGACTTCATTCATAAGGGCCCACATCATGTGGCACTGCTTAATATAAGATGTTTATTTAGAAAGTGACTAAAGCACTTGAGTAGAATACCTCTAAAAGTGCACTCGATAGTACATACTGTAACTCAAGTTCACCCAAAGAAAACTGGACCCGATTCAAACAACCAGACATATAAAAGCTCATAAAAACAACAAAAAGGAAATGCAACAATTAATTACAACAATAATTTTAAATAGGTAACTAAATACAAAAATGTACAGATATGGACAAAAAAAAAACAACAACCTGAAAATGAAAATCAGTGGACGTGTGATTCATCATAGAAAACGAAAACTTTGGCATTTAATGTATATAAATAAATAGTTAAGTAGCACTGCATTAAGTATTTAAAAAAACATATTTGTGCAATGCTTCAGCATAGTCATAGTGAAAGGTACTGGAATTAATGAAAGGCTAAATATGTTAGTTTATAGTCAAAAAATTCATAATGAGTTGAGGGCTCAAGTCCAAGGCTTCAATCCACAATCAACAATTTCATTAATAAATATATATAAGTGAATCTGATGACCCACTGTCAAACATATCTAAATGCAACTTTGACCAACGACAACCAGCATTAGATGTTTTGTCCAGCAAAAGGTCAGACAACAAATTCTCATTCAGTGGTGTTTTGCATAGGTTGCATCAGGTTCTGAGTGCTACATCAGTTTTTATCTTATCTTACTAAAGCAGCTCAAGCTTTTTAACGGAGAAACAAGGCTGACCACATGCCCCATGAGTCCTGACTAGTGGTGATGCGTCTCTGTAGCAGTCACTACGCAAGCAGGGTTCTTACACTGGTGCTGGGTTTAGTGTCCTCCATATTTCTCTTTGTGCCTGTCTGTTTGCGTTTGGCCACACGGGGACTTTCCTCTGTGATAATGCCCTCTAGGGGCATGGCAGGCTCTCTGCTTTCTCGACTCACGAACATAGACGGATTATGGGATACCATCTCAAACCTCTGCTCTGCAGCTTTACGAACGGCTGCTTTCCTCTTGGTCCTGGGCTGAGGGGAGGGTAAAGCTTGTCCAGCTGCTGAGGAAGGCAAAGCACACTGGAGAGAAGAGGAATAGCTGCTGGCAGACATAGCAGCATTAGTAGTGCCAGCCAGGGCTGCACTGCCAAGCCGTGCCATTGCTACAGGGATCTCCTCCAGAGATTCTACAGAGTCAGAATGATACTCAGCAGGGGGACCAGCGGCTTGTATGGGTGCAAGAGGGGGGAGGGAGGCCCGCAGGGGGAATGCTGGGAAGGGTAAGCGTTGACCAATAGAGGAGGACACAGTGGAGGCAGCTACAGAGGACCCTATTTGTGTAAAGCGCAGACACAAATCACAAAGGTAACTCACACTCTGATTCACCAATATCAAGACCACTGAAAAACACCACAAGGATTTTTTTTTTAAGCATTTGCTACAATTATGTCAGAATCGATTCAATTTTACATTTTTACAAGATTATACTGGGAAACTACATGCTAAACTCAAACAGCTAAACTTGTGTGAATAAAAACAGCTTATGGAATCTCGTTTCTGCAACCTAAGAAAAAAAACAAGCTTTGGTAAATTATTATTATGACATAAAAATCATAATGATATATTATATATTATCGAAATTATGACAAACTGTCATTATAAAAAGCAGAAATTTATCTCATAATTATGACTTTCTCATAATTCCTACTGTCCCTTTTTATCTCCTAATTTCTACTTTATGTCAGATTATACAAATTCTAAATGATGGCAAACTGTCATATAAAAAGTTGAAACTTCTCATAATTATGACTTTTATAACTTTCTCATAATTTATACTGTCATAATTATGAGATAAATTTAAAATTATGACAAATATTCGTAGCTATGACTCATATGACTTTTAATCTCAATGACTATCATATTTTCAATTTTGTCATTATTTTTTATGTCAGAATTATGACTTTTAATGTCAGAATTATGATTTACTAATGGATGTTTTATGTTGCAGAAATAAGCTTCAATAGTTCCTAGATCAAATATTTGAACAAGGCACACAGGTAGTTTAGGAGCACAGAACTAATCAAACACTATAATTACAACTAACAATGCAACACAAGCTAAAATAAATCAGGTAAAGACAACTGCTCTATTAGCAGATTTTTTATTATTCTTAGTGCGATTCTTCCATCTAAAGCAAACAGGGTGTTGTTCAGTGATTCAGATCTACCACACTGTTTAATATTATAACATAGCAACGTCTTCCATAACTTACTAATCTCCTAAACCAGTGACGCACTGTTAGGATTAGTCTACATTCTATCTTAGTTCTCATGTTCAGTATGTGATATGCTGCTAATATGTTGCAGCACTGTACTTTTTATCTGTGTTTGTAAACATAAACAACATTTTAGGCACTTGCACTAATACATAAAACACATGCACTAATAATTGCATAATGAACAAATGTATACTATCTGTGTTTTATTTATATACGTCCAGGCACTTTTTTACTCTTTCTTACTCTCATCTCTATTCTGGCCTGTACTCCTCTGATCTTCAGCCTCCTAGAATGAATCACTGTTGTATTCCACATTTTGTAAATTGCTTTAGATAAAAGTGTCTGCTAAATGAATAGATGTACACTACTATTCAAACGTTTGGGGTCAGTAAGTGACAGTAGACTTACACTGTTACAAAACATTACTATTTCAAACAAAAGTTGTTCTTTTGACGTTTCAGCCTTGGCGAGCATAACGGGCTTCTTTCAAGAACATAAAAAAAATTAAAATCTTATCGACCTCAAACTTTGAACAGTAGTGTAAATCAAAGAGATATTACAGACATAAGTTGATCGTGTACGTTTATCTTACCCTGCTCAGCAGAAGTCTTTGGCATGCCTTTGGTGGTGCTGGTGTCAATGGACCTGTCACTGTTTACCTCGGCTGCAAGTTTGCGCACTTTCCACTTTTTTTTCTATGGAAATAAATGAAACTGTTTTACCACATAATGAGGCAGACAGATGTTGCAACTTAAGTAGAGTGTACAGGCCACTGGTTGTATAAATAGACCCTAAAATTATTATACATTTGTTTGATATTAACTTGTTGTGTGTCTGCAGGTTGTGTTGTGTGTGATAATGTGTCACACCTGTGTGTGTTTGTGAGGGTGAGGAGATGCTTTGTTCTCTGTTAGGACAGCAGGGAGGAGCTCTTCTTCACCCAAGTGCTCAGACGAGCCTCTGACCTGGCCGTTGCCGTAACGCCTACGGAGAGACGCCCATTATTCAAAGCTTGTGCACAAATGACCAAACAACAATTTTACATTCACTTATTTACTTCAGATGTTATACCATAGACAACATTTCTTAAAAAAAAGATACATCCACTGTCTTCGAAGACCATTTGCTATGATTGCTAAAAGTTCCAAGAGCCACATAACAAAATGCAATGACAAGCCGTTGCAAAACTATGGAAATTCTATGGAATCACTCATCACCCAACATGACTGTCAGTCTGACATCACAGTACCACTTTGCCACTGCTGGCTGATGTTCACATGCAATCATATCAACACTTCCTGCTACACAGATTGATCAAACCTGTCCCAGCCACTCCAGCTAACAAGAAGTTTAGAATACAATAGTAATCAGAATAGAAATAAGAGGTTTATATCTTAGCTTACTAGCAATCATTTTTATTGTACAGACTATTATAATCTCACATACAACGTGTGAACTTCATATTCATAATTTCATTACATTTTTAATGAAGACAACTAATGTCTGTTACTGAATAGACAATTTACGAGTGAGGCCTTTAATGTATAATAACATGGAAATTGAAATGCCATGGGAAACAATTCTGCCCCTATGACGTGTAAAATAGTATGAAAGCCTGTTTTGCAATCTCTGTTATGAAATACTGTTAATGCTCACTGTTTATTTTTGAGTAATATGACACATGAGCAAAACAGGCCTCAGTAACTGCTTCTGCAGAACTGGTCCAGTTAGGAGCCTGAAAAGGTTAAAATTAAACGAACACTCGGTTCACCGGGCTTTCTCAATTAAACAAAAACCTTAGAAAAATATGGATTATTGTAAAATGCATACTGATGTATAAGGAACTAATGGACCAGTCCCTCCAGATATAAAAATCAAATAAGTAAAAAAAAATGTAATCTGAAACTGATGCTCTAGCTCACATTTTAACTGCCCCACAAAAAGCATTAGTATGCTTTCTTCCCTTCCAGCTGAGTTCTCAAAGGGTTGTCATGATACCATAATTGCCCAATAGAATAAATGAGATTATCTGTATTTTTTGGATCACTGTAAAGGAATCAGTCATCCCCTTAAGCCACTCTTAGAACAAAATATGCAGAGTAACGCTGATTTGGCTGGACTGTAGACATTAATGTAGGCAGGCTTAAGGGGAGAGAAAGCCAAGTCTCGTGTGAATGGGTGATTGTTTTCCCAGGGCTCTACACTTACTTTTCTTTCTTTTTTTATTAAAATTGTTTTTTTTTTTTTTACAAAATTTTATTTTACAAAATAATAATAAATAAATGCAGTTCATGGCCCCTTTAATGCATCCTTGCTGGGAAAAAAAAAAAAAAAAAAACTTACCCCAAATACTACTACTACTACTTACCCCAAATTTTGCACGGTAATGTACATAACATAACTTGAGTCATTGACCACGTAATATTTTTAAGTATGCTATCGTTTTATTAATCTAGCTGGCAAAACTCACGCAGATCCTTCTTGGGAGCTCATGGCGGTTGGATCCTCTACCTCCATCTCAGGGTTGGTGTAGCCGAGAGTTCCGCCATAACTGACCTGCTGCTGCAGCAAAACAATGATGGAAATTAAATTATGGTGAGAGAGAAAACAGGCATATCAGAGATACATTACAATCGCTTCGAAAAGGAGTAGTGGTCCTACATGAAACATGTATGCTGCATTATAAACAAAGCATTATATGATCCACATTAGATACTGAATGACCTTCAAAGTAACACCATGATGTACAACCTTTAAAAAAATCACTGACAAAAATCATTTACCCATATTACATTTGCTCAAACTAGCTGAATATAATGCCACCAGCTGTTTTATTCAATAAATAAACTGTGATCAAATCTTCAGTTCTTTATATGCTAGGACTTATTTTTTAGCAACACAACCATCATCATCCAATAAATCCACAATAGGTATATACAGTGGGTACGGATATTTTTTTTTTTTTTTTTTGTGAACAGAAGTGTAGAATCTAAGAGTATGTGTGAGCAAATTTGTGTCTTAGGGGTGTGAGGTACTGATGGCACTTGTGTGCTTGTGTATGTGGTAACATGAAATTAGTGAAATGCCAGCCCTGCCCAACACAACAATCTACACAGTGAGCCAAAGCAAACATTTCTTAAAGAACAGCATAGTCACATGCACACCTCTCAAGCGCTCTCATGAGGTGTACTACTGAGTTAAGGCTGGGGTCAACTTACATAACCCTTCTGGAAAAAAATAACTAAAATCCCAGCCTCTCTAGGTAAGAGATTTTTGCAAAATAGCATATGTTTAGAATTGTGAAAGTATATTGTATGTTACATACTTCATTTTAATATGTTCACTTCTGTTCAAAAGTTTGGGGTTAAACTTAAAAGTCTAAAATATGCTTATGCTCACCAAGGCTGCATTTATTTATACTTTAAAATATTATTACAGTTTAAAATAACCAATTATTTCTGTGATGGCAAAGCTGAATTTTCATCAGCAATTACGCCAGTCTTCAGTGTCACATGGTACTTCAGAAATCATTCTGTGTTGATTTGGTGTTCAAACACGTATGTATTTTTATTATCAATGTTGAAAACAGTTGTGCTGCTTAATGTTAAACTGATAAATTTTTTCAAGATTTCTTTTATAAATAGAAAGTTCAAAAGGACAGTATTTAATTGATTGTATTTATTAGATTGTCAAAAAGTATTATACTGTCAAAGTGTAAAATGTTACTGTCATGCCTGCTTACAGCCTTATTTTTAAAGCACAGTGCTAAAGGTCCATCAAGGCAGATTCACATTGTCCTCAGAACACAAACCATGTGCTCTGTGGCAGGAAGTGAACTCATGGTGTGAGGTCATTTCCTATAGTTCAGTGTGAGCTCAACGTACCGCCCATGGGAGGAGTTGGCAGTAGCCTGGTGGAGACATTTTCCTGGGAATGTGTTAATTGCTCTGAGAAGCAACTGGACAGATGATTTCATCCTCACACTAGGTTGTTTTAACAACCTGGTTGTTACAACTAGGTTGCCATGAGCTAGCCACCCTGATGATTATGTATGTGGACACTTGCTCTGTTTTTTGAGTATTCATATTCAGTACATAAGCCTTCAAGGGGAATCTGATAGATTTGTGAACAGATATGTATTTTTTCAAAGGCTCAAAAACCTAAACCACTATAAAACAGAAAGTTGGAAGTGTGAAGTCATGGCCATATCTAAATACATACACTACCTTTTAAAAGTTTGGGGTTGGTAAGATTTTTTTATGTTTTTGAAAGAATGTCCTTATGCTCACTAAGGCTGCATTTATTTGATTAAAAATACAGTAAAGTCAGAAATGTTGTAAACTATTAACACAGTTTAAAATAATTGTACTATTTTAATGCATTTTAAAATGTAATTTATTCCTGTGATTGCAAAGCTGAATTTTCAGCAGCCATTACTCCAGTCTCCAGTGTCACACGATCCTTCAGAAAACATCCTACTAATATGCTGATTTGCTGCTCAAGAAACATTTCTTATTATTATCAATGTTGAAAACTGATGTGCTGCTTAATGTTTTTGTGGAAAGCATGATACTTTTTTTTCAGGACTCAGTGATGAATAGAAAGTTTAAAAGAACAGCATTTACTCAAATTAGATTTTTTTTTGTAACAGTGTAAATCTCTTTACTGTCACTTCAGCTCAATGTAATGCATCCTTGCAGAATAAAAGTATTTTTTAAAAATCTACTGACCCTAAAATTTTCAACAGGAGTATATTTAGATGAAAAAAAACTGGCATTTCCACAAAATTCGTATAGAATTAATAGCATAGAATAATTTAAACATGCGTCAGCGTGTCTCCTGCACCTGTGTATTTCATGTATGCTCCAAGTACTAATATATAATTACATAAAAATAACAGGCCGAAATACAGATCTGTTGAGAGCCTGCAATTTTTTCAATGGACTGGCAACAAAATGGTGACATTAATCAGCTAATTAATTGATACATTTGCAAGTTTATGTGAGTGGAAAAAAATATATTATCTTTTTGTTATTTTGAACAAACCAAAAATGTACAGTATAGACATTGTCCATCAAAAAAATGTACATAACCATCTTTAGCTGTGCTGAAAATATATGTTTGTTTGTCTGTTTTACCTTGATTAGATTAATCGTGGGAACCCCAGATTCATGCTCTGGAAGGGGCTTTTTGGAATCTTTGGCCTCTTGCAGATGCCGCTGTCGCACAATATACTCGTATGTGCTAAGTCTGTTCCACACTAAAGGAGAGAATGAGACAGAGTCTGATACAAAATGTCTACTGCCATATCGCCCATACACATCACATCATTTATAATGTCATTCAGGATAGGAACCATATCTACATATTTTTTATTGTACATATTATTCATATCATTAGGCAAAAACTTGCCTATTATAAAGTATAGATGTGGATGTTTATTTCTTGTTTGATCTCAAAAACAGGTTGGAAAGTGAAACCAAGTTCTTTTGCCTCTGGATTTTCTTGGAATGCCCCCTTGTGGCACAAAGTGAGATGTCACGTGTACATAACAGGGCTTAATGTAGTATACATCATTTAAATGTCTATCTTCTTTATTTTACGTTTATATTTCTTTATTGTTTATTTAATTTCTTCTCATTGTTTATTTGAGCCATGAGCTACTGCAAGCCGACAAACCCACAGAGGAGAATGTTTAATTAAGGTTAATTAACAACAGCAACAAAGCATCAAATAACCTCAGAACCAGAGACTGATCATAGGATGACTGTCCTTGTCAGTGTGGCTTCAGAAAATCAATTGATCTTGCCTATGGTGTTTTGTTGTCAAGGCTGGCACTAAACTACACAGATCTGCCTGAGCTGAAGGTAGGCAGCATGTGGCGGTGAATGACTGTCATGGTAATCAAGCTGCAGTCTATCTTATGCAGACTACACCAAAGCCTGCACTCAAACCCAACTGTTGGCATTGGGCAGATATTGAGCTGATTATTCCAGGAATCAGAGGAATACACCTGCACCTGCTGTTCAAAAGGTAAATAGTTGCAGAAACCCCACTTCAAAGATACAGTATATTTGTAATGACATATGCAAATATAGGCATATTGTAATTCCAAGTTTGCTGCAATTACTTTTAATGCATTCAGTTCCTTATTAAGAATTTGAGTGCACTATAAATCAAGGCAGCTGAGTTTAATCCTAGGTTAATTTTGAAGACAGAGGTGTGCATTGCTGGGAATGCTCTCTCATACACTACTGTTCAAAAGTAGGATACAGTAAGATTTGTTTTTAAAGATATTAATACTTTTATTCAGCAATTTAATTGACAGTAAAGACTTTTACATTGTTACAAAAAAATCTATTTCAAATTAATGTTGTTCTTTTTACCTTTCTATTCAGCAGTCCTGAAACAAAATGTATCACAGTATCCACAAAAATATTAAGCAGCACAACTGTTTTCAGCATTGATTATATTAATAATTGTTACTTGTCAGCATATTAGAATGATTTCTGAAGATTCATGTGAGACTGCTGAAAATTCTTTGCCATCACTGGAATAAATTACATTTTTAAATATGTGACCCTGGACCACAAAACCAGTCTTAAGTCGCTGGGGGATATTTGTAGCAATAGCCAAAAAAAAAAAACATTGTATGGGTCAAAATTATCGATTTTTCTTTTATGCCAAAAATCATTAGGATATTAAGTAAAGATCATGTTCCATGAAGATATTTTGTAAATTTCCTACCGTAAATATATTAAAACTTAATTTTTGATTAGTAATATGCATTGCTAAGAACTTCATTTGGACAACTTTAAAGGCGATTTTCTCAGTATTTAGATTTTTTTGCACTCTCAGATTCCAGATATTCAAATAGTTGTATCTCGGCCAAATATTGTCCTATCCTAACACATCATATATCAATGGAAAGTTTATTTATTCAGCTTTCGGATTATGTATAAATCTCAATTTCGAGAAATTTACCATTATGACTGGTTTTGTGGTCCAGGGTCACGTATATTAAATATAAAAGTTATTTTAATTGTAATAATATTTCACAAAATTATTGTTTTTACTGTACAAATAAATTAAAAAAATGCCCTGGTGACAAAATCATTTTTAGAAATCTTGTAGGTAGAAGAGTGTACTCACTGAGGTACATGTGGAAGCAGAGTAAGTGTCCCAGCAAAAGTGCAGACAGTAGGCCCAGAGCAATGGTGACTCCTGTTAGAGTGGGAATGGCTGGACCAGCTGTGGTGACTGGAGCCACTGGTAGAAACACAAACCACACCACAGACTCATTCCTTACTGCAGACAGAAAAAGAAATACAGAAGATTAGAGCTCTGACATGTGGACACATCTGTGAAAATGTGTGTTTTGTTGTGTGTAGTGTGGCCAACTTTTCAGTACATTCAAAGACGCCCTTACCCTGTTGAAAGTGCTTGTTGGAACGAAGTTTCGATGGGTCCAAAAAGAACTCTATAAAAACATAACTAGCAATAGCTACAACCAAAACAATCCCCAGGACAGCAGAAACCACACTATTGAGAAAAAGCCTGTCACAAATAGAAAGAGAGAGAAAAATAAATAATTAACAAATACATTGCACTTGAGATTTTCAGGCCTTCAAAGAGATTTTTTTTTTAGTAAATGCTATTTTTATACACTACTGTTCAAAGGTTTGAGGTCAGAAATAAAAAAAAAGTTATATGAAATATTAATTTCAATTTAAGACTGTTTTCTATTTTATTACATTTTCAAATGTAATTGATTCCTTTGATGGCAAAGCTGAATTTTTTATTTCAAATAGAAATTTTTGTAACAATGTAAATGTCTTTACTGTCACTTTAATGCATTCTTGCTGAACGAAAGTATTCATTAATTAAAAAAAAAAAATAAAATAAATCTGACCCGAAAAAATTTGAACAGTAGTGTGGATCTACAAGGATGAATTTGTGTTATGATATTTGTTTTATACTTGTAAAAAATGCTGCATTAGTTATGTCATAGGGACTTTATTCCCACTGCCTGAATATTTTCATTTAATGAAAAGTCATTTGCTACATTAGAAGGTAAAAACACGCATGACTGATTCATTGGTCAGCATCCCAAAAGTCTGCCAGTGAAAATGAAACTCACAAATGTTTGTATGTGATGCTAAGCAACAGCACTTGATCTCATGATTGCTTTATGACTTCCATTTGAGAAAACATTACATATGTCATAAAATCATGAAATGTTTCACATCAGCATACTGGATATGGTGACAGACTATAAAATAAAATGCTTTATCTGAATTTTACATCTCTTTCTGAAAAGTTTGACACAGGATCCGTCTGTCCATGGAAACGAACGGACAGAAAAAAACGGACCCACACAATGACAGACAGAGAAGAGGAAGTGAAAACGACTCACCAGTAATTTCTGCTGCCCACACAATTGTTCAACCATCGACAGTGGTGGTCAAAGCTTGCCACACACTTATTACATGCACTACAGTGTTTTGATTTAGGCCCCCTGGGAAGAACAAGTTTACAGGTAATTGGTTATTTACAGATTGTGGGGTACAAGAGCTGCTTGAAAAGTTACATGATTCGACACAATGCATTGTTAAGTACAGGGACAGGCAAAAAGGGTAGCATATCCTGTGAAAGTGCTAAGCATAAGCGATCCTCGCTTATGTCAGAATCCACCAATGAACATTAATTCAGGAGATGTTAAGACAGAGAAAACAATGTAAACTCAGAAACGTGCTCATACAGTCTGTCAGATGCAAAGTAGTAGTCTTTCAGTTAGTGCTGGGCGGTTTGATCAAAAATCTGTATCACAGGGTTTTTTTAAGGATTCTGACAGTTTCACGGTTTATCACGTTTTTTTCCTGATACTGCCTTTATATGAATCAGAAAGCATGAAACAGTTGCAGAAAAATCAAAGATGCTACATGTAGCATGAACAGTTCTTGATGTAAATTAGTTTATATAATTTAATAATTTAAAGCAAAAACAGAATGGTCTGACTTCAGCTTTTTGAAATTATGCTACATTAAACATCTGCACGAAACAAAAACAGTGAATGAAAATCACTGTTGCCAACTCTCGCGAAACAAATAAGCAACCGCAGCTTCAAAAACAGGTCCAAAATAAGATCTGAGCATGGTAAAATACCTGTAATGTAGGGCTGGGCGGTATATATCGAGTTTGTACAATATATCAAAATATTTTTTCTAAGCGATATGGTATGAGGCAATACCACCTATATCAACATACAGTAGTTTGATACGAGCGCATCTGAATAATAGCAAAGGACGCAGAGTGAGCTGCTGCGGGGGAAAGTGCATAATCCAATTTGTCCTAAACATGAGACATGCTTATATTAAGGGCTTTAAAATAACTCATAAGATATAGTTAACGTAACACATATAGTTTAAAGCAGTTTGCAACGTCAGATGCTCTGACAGACACGCAAGGCCACATTAACAGGGCTATAGGGCTAGGCGGGGCTGAAGCCCCGGGCCCCGAGCAAGAAGGGGGCCCGTGATTGGCTGTGGAGTAGACTGACTTGCCATCGGTAGCGCTGATCGCCAAAGACCCACCACGCCCCCCACTTATTAGTGCTGTTATTTAGTGGAGCTTTGTCGTAAATTCCATTCATTACCATTAGGGATTGAAAACATGAGTTACTCAATAAAATCCCAAGCTATCAGGTCATTTTACTAAAGCTGATGATGAAGTGGAAGTTATGGAATAGCAAGTGGACCAGGAACAAGGACCAGATAAAAACACAACGTCATCGTCCCCCATCGATTTTAGGTTAGTTTGATTATTGAAGTTATTATTATAACTTATTATATTATAATAATATAATAATATAATTATTATTCAAGTTAGTTGAACTTGACTGATGTATATTGCTTTTTGTGTCTGAAGAAACTATATATTCCCTTAAGGGGTGGGCGATAACCCGCTTGAAATATGTCAATCTTGTTGTGCAGTCATTTAAACTCTTTTGTAAGCACTGCGGTTTAAAACCAATTTTTAATCATTTTTTGCATTTTAAATCATTCATGCACATTAAGCAGTGGGGGAGAATTCATTTTGGTAAATGCGTGTGTGTTATCAGGGTTTCCAAGCCTGATACGAGCGGTGCACACCTCAGGCTTAAAGCAGCTGCGTGTACAGCCTGACTAAACTAGAGTCCTTTCTCACACCTTGTGCTTGAACATCCAAATACACATAGTTATGTGTCAAAATGCCCGTCTTTGTGAGTATCCTCATAAACGTATTCATTTGTGTCTTAAATGATTGTTAATAACTAAAGACAAGGCATGTGTAGTAGTAGGCTATTTGAGACCCTGGTATTATGTGAGGTCTTAAAGGAATAGTTCACCCAAAAATGAAAATTCTGTCATCATTCACTCACCCTCAAGTTGCTATAAACCTGCATGAATTTCTTTGTTTTTCTCAACACAAAAGAAGATATTTTGAAGAATGTTCGTAACCAAAAAGTGTCTGGTCTCCATTGACTCCCATAGTATTTTTTCATACTATGGAAGTAGGGCTGGGCAGTATGCCGGTATATATTGTTACTGCAGAATAAAGCGTCTATCGTTAGAGATTTTGCTATATAGTGTATTCCGCGGTATGCAAATATATCTGCGTAACATAGTACATTGCTTAGGCACTTATACCGGTATGCCGTTTTTTTATTATTATTCATACCAGTTGCATAATTAGAACCGGTTTACCATTTGAACTGGTATATCGCCCAGCACTACTGTCAGTTATTGTCAAGTTGCACCTGAAACTTCAAAAAAGTTGTCAAATTAACTATGTATTACAGTCAGCATTAGAAAGTGCTGCAATAGCTTAGTAATTTCCAATTCAAGACTTGGATGTCAATGATTGTAAGATTCAGCCACTTGTTCTTATGATATTGCTATTGCAGCATTTTAATAAAAACAATAAGATTTAATAAAATGTAGTGGGTGTGCATTACAGTTGTTTTACTACAGTTACAGAGGGTTACAGAAATCTGAATAAAGAATCTGTACACATGCATACCCACACAACAATAGAGAAATAGACAGCATCATGCCTGTACTTACACATCTACTTCACAGAGGTAGCAGTGACAGTTCTCAATGACGTGTGCATGTTTGGTGCGGTCAAACACCGGCATGGGTCCCTTATAACTCTTAGCTCTGACATTATAATCTGCAGGGTCGATGGAGATGGCCATCAGGTGCATGAAGAGGTGACAGACAAATGTAATGCCTGTACACTGAGCTCTGAGTTAAAGACTGATAATTACTCAAAAAAGTGAGTCTCTCAACAATTTAAAGCAGACATGCTGTATATAATTCACACAGAGCTGCACAAAGATTCAACTTCCAATGGCTGCTACAGGGTAACATATGCATATTAATAAGAGCTGATGTGCGCAGGAATAGCTTCATGCAGGCCATATGACAAACTGCAAAACAAGGATACAATATTTCCGGCTGGGATCCAGTGTGTGGGGAGCAGAGGCACAAATACACCAAAGCCAGTGACAGCAAAGTAGAGATAAAGCATCCAGGCCAGGAGCTGGAAAGGGTGCGGGGGCCAGCTCCAACCATTGGTCCGAGAGCACAGGGGCACATCAGCTCTCCTGGGTACCCCCTCACTCACTGGGGCTGTGCGATTGGAGTTCTTACTGCAGACATCCATGAGAGGGGAGCCTCCTTCTGTCACTCCTGCCATTAAAACAGTGCAGAATGTTTATTTTTAAAATATTACAGGTTTGATAAGACTCACTGCTTTAAAGGGATAGTTCACCCAAAAATGGTAATTCTGTCATCTTTTAATCACCCTCAAGTTGTCCAAACATGTATGGCTTTGTTTCTTCTGTGGTAGATAATAAAAGATATTTTGAGAAATGTTGCAGTTTTTTATTTTTTTTTGGTTTGGTTTGGTTACTGACATCCTTAAAAATGAAGAAGGAAAGAAGAAAGTCATACAGCTTTGACAGAATTATCTATACATTTTAAAATAATGTCACAACAATGTTTAAAACAGAGTTCCGAATTATTGTATTTTTAATTATTTCACACAAAATTTATTGAAAATGCTTTGTTTTTTATACGAATTAGATTTATTTCTAATTAAAAAAAAAAAAAACAGGGGACATCGGGGCTTTTTTCAGCCTTTTTATTTTTTGCATTTAGTTAGGTTTCTGGTGTGGCTGCCAACTCAGAAAATCTGAAACAAAAATAAGCAACCAATTTGTTATGAGGTGTCTAAAGTCTGAAACTGTGTCATCCAGTGAACTGTTTCAATTTGCAAGCCAGTTTCTAGTAGACAGCTATCCGAGCCATTTGAACGTAAAGATGCAATTCTCTCTAAAGGCGCATGTGAGGAGATGGCGAGTCAGGATCGTCATCTTCAAAAATACACATTAAAAAATAATGAAAAATACGAATAAGAGCATAATATAGGTTACAAACTTATACTTAAATAGCCTACATTGAGTACTAATACAACTGTGTTTTTAATGTATTCACAGGACTGTCCTACCAGGTGGGGTAAATCGCGTTCTCGAGCAAGCCCCAGCCATTAGGAGGGTGCTGGATGACCGGCGCAGCCAACATTTGATTCCGACGTGGCAGGACATCGAAGTCCTAGAATCCGTTAATGCAGCGCTGAAGAAGGTCACGGATTTTACAGATGCGCTGTCTTCCGAGAAGACAGTTACAGCGTCCTCTGTTAAACCAGTCCTACGGTTATTATCTGAGGATATGTTGCTCCCAACCGAGGAAGACACGGAGTTGACGCGCAACATAAAAAGGGTTAGCGTCATGGAAGACAAATATATAGTGCACCTGCAACATTAATTGATCCAAGATACAGGGACATCATGCACATCACGATTTGGCTTTCATTAGGGCACTGTGTCATATATCAAGGTCTCTTTAACGCAGTGGTTCTCAACCCGCGGCCCGTCACGAATTCAAATGCGGCCCACCGTGCTGAACACAATTAAAAAA